AAGTATTAGACGTTTACGTACAATGGTTGTTTTATGTTGAAATTGAAGCAGTCTGGTTATTAATTCAGAATATTAAAAAAAATCCATACCAAAACTTTGTATATTTTTATATATTGAATACACATTTCTTTTAGTGTATATAAGTAATACGTAAATAGTTTTTTTATGCATCTAATAAGTAAATCACAATATTTATAAGCAATAATATTTTACGAATGTCGTGTCAAAATATTCTCCCACAAAACTGTTAAATTATATAATAAAGGAAACTAAATATTGAGCACTTTTACATAGTCTATATTTGACAATAAATATACTTTTATACAAAAGATTGAATTGAATATTTTAACAATTGGTCGGCTTTTTATGAACCAAAGTTTATTTACAATATTTGCAGTCTATCAATGTCTGAACCGGAATTTTTCATCAAAACCCAAAGTATTTTTCTATTTCGGTATTCTATAGTCTTTAGGAATTTTATGATTTAATAGATTGTACGAGTAGATTCGTGATGCCTACATTGATTAAATCAACTTTACTTGATGAATGATAATATTAGTTGTAATAGGGGACTAACTATATATTGAAATATTCAATCCTGTCCATTGCTGAAGGAAGTTTGTCATTAAGGAAAACTGATCTCTATATTGTGCATATTATGGAGTCAATGTGTATCAATGCCTCTAATCTCTTAAATTTTTTGAAGCGAAGCTTCTATATTATCGTTTTATTAATTTTTCTCTGTAGTAAAATGCTCTGACGATCGTCACGAAATTAAAGACACGAAATAGTTGGAAGAGTCCATTTACTCGAAGAGGAGAGTGCGGTATGCAATATTTAAACTTTTTCAATTTTATTAAAATCTATAAAAAGGATATTAACTAACAGCGGTTTCATGAATTTTCGAATGTACAAAAAATTTTTAAAATAAATAAATAACCTTTGTAAATCGATGATTACAAAAAATCGTAAAATACCTTAAAATAATTAATGAGTAATAAAATTACTTTATTTATCTTTATTTATTTTAAAAATAGTATTTAAAATATAAAAGTTCAGAAAACATAGCATGAAGCTTCGTGCTAGTCTACAGTACCGCCTACTGCATCACATTTTTAGCCACTAGTATTTCCTTCACATTTAAAAGAGGACTCCAGAGACTCCAAAATTATGAGAGATTCGGGAATAAACCTAACGGGTACAATATATACCCGTTATACAAATAATGGCATATGCTGATGATATCGTGATTATTGGAAGAACCCGAAAACAAACAGTTGAAACTTTCACACGTATTAAAAACGCTGCAGAAAACATCGCGCTTCGGATTAACTCGCAGAAAATTACATATACGCCGGCTATATCAAGAACGCAAGAAAATAGCTTATGAGGTGCAACACGAACGTGGAGGTGAAAGAGTTCTGCTACTTAGAATGACTGGTTGACTGCAAAAACAAACACATCCAAAGAAATAAGACAAAGATATGCTTGGCTAAACGCTATTATGTTGGTCTAGGCCCTCAACTAAAAGCGAAAAATAAGTCAAAGAGCGTCAAATCAGAAACATGGGCAATGATGACTCGAGATGAAGAGTTACTAGGAAGCTTTGAAAGAAAAGTATTGAGGACCATATATGACTCTATTAGTGATGCAAATATCGTAAAATCGTAAAAACCGTCACAATATACCACCTGAGATGGGTGGGCCCATCCTTCTAAAATAATCATGTTAAATAGGTCGGTCAATAGAAGAAGAATGGGCGACCTAAACTCAGGTATCTGAACGATTTAAGTAGTAGGAGTAAAGGCATGTATAAGACAGACTTTCAACAGGGAAGGATAAAAGAATGTTCTAAGGCAGGCCAGAGCTCATGAGGGGTTATAGTGAAAACTGATAAGAATGAGTATTTCTTTCGTCCGAATCCCTTTTCTCTTTAATTAGAAGAATATAGGAAGATATATTTATATCTTAAGTAATTGTCTCCTACAATTAATTTTAGACTCCGGTATAAAAACATTATTTTTACTAGATTATTGGTAAATGATTATTTTATATTTAGGTTTTTTTGAACCAGATTTCCGGACTGGAAGCGGAAACATTAAAATTGTGTAACTTTAATTACAATGATTTTGATTTATTACGAAAAATTAAGTAGTCAATGTCAAACATTTCATTAGAATATAATTTCTACAAATTTTTTAGAAAATAATATTGAACATATAATAATCAATGTTAAGGTTAGGAAGATTTCTTGCATTAAAAGGCTGATCTGGCATTTTCTACATGCGCTTGTGTTTCAATGGGGTCAAGATTGGTTGTTATTTAGCAACCAAGGTCTTGTGCCCAAGAAAACTTGAGTACGAACTATATTTGATTGCTAGAAATAAAGATACCTTTCTGGTGATTTAAATTCCACGCAACTGCCATTAGTTTTGTACTATCTGTATTTTTTAGTCTCTTTCTGTCGCGTTCCTTTGTTATAACTTTTATTATTTTTTGCAAATCTTCAATAGTGTTAGCTATAATAATTGTGCCATCTGCGTACATCGAGTTGGTTATATAGATTCATCATCATTGTCAACCTGTATGTGTCCACTGCTGGACATAGGTCTGTCTCAGCTCTTTCCATTTGTCTCTGTCTTGTATGGCTTGCATCAAGTTATTGCTAACACGCTTAAGGTCGTCAGTCGATCTAATTGGTGGGCGTTCTCTGCTCCGTAGTGCTTCTTGTCTTGGTCTCCACTCGACAATATGATTTGTCCATCGCTTGTCTGATAACCTAGCGATGTGTCCTGCCTTGTTCCATTTTAGCGACGCGATTTTTTTGAGGTCGTATGTTGTTTTTGTTTTATGCCGTATTTCTAGGTAGGTCCGATTTAAATACATAGTTTAATTTACACAAACGCTACCCAGGCTAACACTATACGTAGGAGCTCACATGTCTGGGTATCTCTGTCCAGCCGAATTTATGTCTGTACTTATACGATGCAGTCTGCATAATATCTCTTCCATCAACAGCAATATTAGTTACTATTTTTTTATGTTTTCAACGGTCTCTTGAAAATTTTGGTCTCAATATATGGTTGAACAGAGAGGAGAAAATATACAAACCTATTAAAATAAGTCTGAAGATTATCCTAGTTAATTCATTTTAGCATTTCTTCACATATTTTGCCATATTTGGCAACTTTTTTCACCCTTTATTTTTAATGCTATTGTATCGTAACGCTGCTATTATTCTAACATTTATTTTTAATATGGTTCATTTGTGGTTCTTCTTATATGTTCTCAAATAGCTATTCAGTTTGTGATATTTGTCAAAAATTACAGCTTGATTAACATCCTTTGGAATTATTATAGAATTTTCCTTGCTTCTGTAATTTATTTCAACTTTTTATAGGTATTAATGCAATGCTGTTTTGGTCCTGTTATCCAGTATTTGACCAGTTGTAGTTTCTATGTTTATTTGACATTTGACAGTTTATGATTGTAAAACCTAATTATGATTCTACTGTCTTGTACAATAACTGAAAGAAAATATACGTAGTGACATAACGAAAAAGAAAAAAATAATACTGAATTTATTACAACTAATATCTACGATTTTGTTTGATAAGTCAAAAGACGATCAGTTTTTCAACCATATCGATAAAATGGTTTTTATAATATTGTCTGTTCTAACAAAAGAAGTAAGTAAGCCATAGCTGTAATTTGTAGCTACAATTGGCATGTAATCATCGTAAAATACGTCGTAAAGAAATACTTTAATTTGTTCATTATGCCCAAAGTGAGATCACGAGTAAATTTTCAACAGCTTAGCAAATTTAAAGCAGGCAAATAGTAAGCTTGCGTGAGTCAGATTTCTCTTCTCTCTTACCTTCAAAGAAACAGCCATGAGGGTACACAAGATACACAAGGTATCAATACGATTTGTTACCAGGTGCGCAACAAGGAACGCCGTGCACAAAGTTCTAGAGTTACAAGGGGTGTCAGAATAATGATCCCACACCAATATCGCAGCCTTGGGTTTTTGTCTCTACACGGGACCGCTTCACGCTTAAAAGATCAATTTCAGATCAACTGTTTGAAAATATTGTAAGGTCTATTACAATAATCGACTGGCATAATGCAATGACCAGCTAAACTGAGACCTCGAATAGAGTACCATTAACTTTAGTATTTTGATTTAGTGGCTAGTCAATGAAAATTTGGTTTTTGTATGTGTAATGGTTGTGCAAGGGTGAGAAGGCAACGTGATGAAAGACGACATCCTCATTCTTCTATGAAAATAATGTGCTTCACACTGTAGGAATTATGGTATGGAAGCTATCACTTATGGGAGCAGGTCACTTTCGATGTGTATCAGAGGCTAGATGACCACTGAGCAATATATCCAGGAGATAGTAGACCCATATGTTCTGCCTTATATCCGGACGCTATCCTAACCACTTTTCTAAAAAGATAATGCATAACCACATACAGCCAGAATTTGGTTGGCTTATTTTAAGACAAATAATTCAATTTGTTGCCTTAACCATCTAGATCTCCAGATCTTATACCTACTGAAAACGTCTAGGACATTATGAGTAGAAGATTACTCCATTTACCTCATCATCCACACACAATCCACCATTCTATTGGCACTTTGGCTTGAGGTACATTTTCATCTCATTAAAAATGTACCCAAAAGAGTGTAGAAAACATCGCAGAGGCCCAAAATCTTTTTTTACATTTTTGACAATAATTGGATTTTTCTAAAATTGTTATTAAATACACTAATTATTATTATAAATTCAGTATTACTGGGTGTTTTTTTTCTATAATATTTATTATATTTATCCCAGGAAAAAACCAACATTTTTATTTTTTAAAAAATATAAACCATAACAATTTACAAGTTAATAAACTGAGGTAGTATCGAATAATCTGAACTGAGACCCTTCTCCGATTGTATGGAGTTACTTGTAGATACTGTATAAGAAAATGAAGAATTAAAGCACATAAATTAGATTTTTAATTTTGTTTTCTTACTATATTTTTATCTATCTTATAAAAAATTATATCTAGACTCTAAAAATAATACTTCCAATTGGTAATTAATTTCGACGATACAAATCAATACAGTTGGTTTATATTTCTAGAAGTTTTGATGAAAAATTCTGGCAAATTGTCGCGTTTCGTCTCACTCATACATACATAAATACTTTTAACGTGAAGATTGCACATATAATTAAACTTTTTTATATACAAATCGTCACTTGTATTATAAAATTACCTTTAGACAAACTACATCTATTTACAATACATTACAATGTTCGTTTTTGTACTTAATTTTTATACATTTATAAACTGATCACAAAATCGCTGGATAAGAAACTTTTCAGAATTATTGATCTAAGTCTCACAAAGTAAGACTACCCGTACTATTGAGTTGTTAATTTAAAACGTTTAAATTTTAAATTTAACAAACCAATTTTTTATTGTATTTTATTTTTTAATATAAAGAGTTCTTAGGCATTTCAGCAAATAAACTTCTAAAACAAAGACATTGTGCATCTGCTTCAATCACAAAATTTGGGAAAATACTAATTGGATATCTTATTTATATCCAAGTAGAAACATCTAGCAAATAAAATGCGGAGTTAATTCTCCTTATTAATGACAAAACTATTTCCGTAAAATCATAATTTACAAATTTTTGGATCAATCTTTTTCTTCTATACCAATATCTTGTGTGCTTACTCTAATGACCTTTTTCCTCGAAATATCCTATTTACACTAATAATTATTAGCAATTCTAGAATTGTTATATTATTAATTAAATAGTTTTATATACGGAATGTAATTGTAAATTTGACCCAATTGAATTTTAAGTAAAAATTTAAAATTTTAAGTAAATCTAAAATAACTTTCTAAATAAAGTTAAAAAATATTGACATCACTCCACAAACATAAAATATTTTCGCCCCATTTATTCTATTTCGCTTGTAATTTACTAACTCATTTTATTGCCTTTTTACGAATGAATTAATGCTGAAAAATTACTTATATCGTTATATGTATTTTTACAAAATATACAATAAAATTAAATACAAGTATACAGAGAAATTTTGACCAGTTTACAATGATCACCTTTAAAATTCATGTTTTATTTTTATCTTTACCTTAGATTCTATATCTACATATTTTTATAAATTAATTCCTCGTAAAGGCTTCTGATGTTCCTTATCACGTGTATTCTGATCTCCAACTTGTCTGTAACAAAAGAAAAAGTAGAAATTGTAGATTTTTGGCAAAATTAAAAGAAATAATTGTAATTAGTATTTGAAATAATATATGTTCCTTAAATATCTTATAATCATTTTCTAATAAACAACGCTTGAAGCGACCGGCGATTTTGAATGTCAGTTACGCGCGCAAAATCAGTTGTTTAAATAAAATTTGGATTAACTTGATGGTTTTACCATTCTCACGAAGTCAATAATATTTATCACTTCCAATGATTAGTAGCTGTGGAATTTTCATTGCTAAAGCCTAGTATTCAAAATTTGTAACTTGTTATAAAATTTCGATTTTGAGTTTGACAACAAATATAAAGCATTTGAAATATGCTTAAAAAATGTTGAATTTAACTTTCACATTACAAAAAATCCCACGAGAAATCCTTCCACAAAAACAACATTAGGTGGAATTCGTACATGAAGTTGTGTAATTCTGAAAAACAAAATCAAAAAAGGAGTTTTTAATGTTTGAGATTGTTTGGAATGTAAAAGTTTAAATTCAGCATATTTTAGGCATATTTCAAATGACTCATATTTGTTGTAAAAAACTTATAATCAAAATTTTGTGTTAAAGGTGTTGAATATTCAGCTCTAGCAATGAAAGCTCTTTACTGATCAGTTAATCAATGTGATAAACTTAATTGATCTTATGAAAATCGTAAAAAATGACAAAAATTGCGAAATATTTATTTATTTAACAGCTTTAAAAAAAGTGACTTCATTTGCGGCAAAATGCAACATTGGAAAGTTGCTCTTTTCAACTTTAAAACGCGTTTTGATTTTTGTTCATAGAACACTCTGATCAAAAAATATCGAATTTTTACCGTTAAGTTGCTACCTTAAATGAACATTTCTGTTCAAAATTCATGTTAACTGAATGTTTCGAACATGTCTTGTTTGAAACATTTACAGGGTACAGATTTTTGGTAAATCGATATTTTCCGTTTCATTTTCTACGTGGAAGCAGTTTTAGGGGGTTTTTAAGGGGAAGCCAGGGGTAGGAGTGGTAAACTTTTTTGCTTGTTTTTTGGGGTCTTAAAATTGAAATTCCCACCAAAATTAAGCTGTCGGTCTGATTTTTAGAGGTTTAGTGGCATTTTCTAGGATTTTTTTTAAAGTTTTAAAAAAAAATAAATATCTTGAAAATACTTCATTTTTGGTATAGAACATTGTCTACAAATTTCCTCTAAAATTTTAAGCGAAATTCGAAAATAAACTAAAAAATTTGATTCTTTTTAAAATAACATAGTTGACGTCTACTTCCGATATAACCGCAAGTGTCACAATCAAGACAACATAATATTTCAACTTAGTGCCATTTAAAACCTACACCTTCGAAATTTCAGATTTTTAACATAATTTTATCCGTCATTACTTTTAATCGAAACTTGTCGCGCCACATCCTGTATAAGAATAAAATCGTTCCACGTGAGATGTAGGCTTCAAATTAAAACTTATTATATTTCAAATAGTGTATAGAAATTTATTTAAGGATAGTACTTACCATTCCGTTTGACGTCAATCCTAATCCAGCAGCGCTCAACGAACTCATATGATGGTGATACGAAGCTGCGGATGGTGGGGCGGGTGGAGGTGGACCTGAAACGAACCCTTGAGTATGCTGATACTGATGCCAATGTGTCATAGCGTGGTGAGGATGAAGAGCAGCATTAAGATGTGGATGTCCGCCACCCATACCTGCGCCGAAACCTCCACCAAAGGCACCTTTACTATCTAAAGGCTTCATCATGTCACCCATCATGCCTCCTAAAGACAGACACGATGCACCCGATTTTTTCTTTTTACTCTTTGAAGAAAGTTTTCTGTTGCGAGTTTGAATGCCTTCTTTTTTCATCGTCAATGGCCTGTTAACCTGGAACAAAAAAGTAAACAGTGTTAAGAAAAGGTCATCAGTGAGAAGTTGACATACAAATCATATTTATTTTGTTATAATAGAAAACTTTACAGATAAGAGATGTGTCCAAGTTTAAAAGTTAAGAGTTATAATATTGTAAAATTAGCAAAGAATATAACATGAAAACTTTTATTTGTTTTTGCAAACAGTTTCATAAGATCCTATATGATGATATGATTATGGATAGAACAAATTGTAGATTACATATGTTTAGGGACTCGTTTGGCTTCGTAGACATTTCCTCAATATATTTTCTACATTAAAATTATTCAATAGCTATTTAATTATAAATACATGCAAATCATTAGATATTTATACCCCAAAAATGCAAGGTTAAGATATAACAAATGCAAAAAATAAATTATATACTTCCTAATTGACATCACGCGTACTAAACGTACTGATACGAAGATAGAACGACAATATTAGACAACATACAATATCGCTATTTAATTTAAACTTTAAACAACGAGCAGTACATGACAGTTACTAGGAATGTCAATTAAGTAAAGACTTAGACCATGTGTCACATCAAGGTTAGTAATGGAGTGTCACGAGTCACTAACTCAAGCTTCGGATGGTCATACCATCATCCTGAGGTGAGTTAAAGGACACGATAGGAATAATGGCAACCATATTGCTGACCAATTGGCTAGGAAGGCGGCAGGCTTGAGACTCTTAGGACCTGGGGATCTTTTTGGTTGGTCAACTACAACAATCGCGGAAATTGTCAAATGTAACTCCCATACACAAACCGTGAAAAGATAGGAAGAAGAGCAAGGATGTAGACTTGCCAGGATAACACTAAGTATCCTTAAAAAGTCAGCATCAAAGAAGTACTTGGGAATGACCAGGAAAAACCTACGTTTGACAGATGGTTTTTTAACTGGCCATTGTCAACTAAGTAAACATCTCCATACACCGGGGTAGTGGACACACCTCTAGAAGGAAGTGTGAACGAGAAAACCAAATTCTAGAGCATGTCTTATGTGAATGCCCGGAGCTATCGTTAATACGAGAGTATGTGTTCGTTCAGTTCTGGTCCTCACCTGCCGACATAAGAGAGATCTCTTCTGGTGACTTATCTACCTTCCTAGAAATGGCAGGATGGACAAGGAGCTAAGGAGGACAGCTCTCTGGGAGGATGCACGATGGGTCAATTGTGGTCTAAGTGGTGTAATAAGTAAAGACTTCCATATTAAATATTTTCTATTTACCTGGTGAAATAAGATGCAGTTGCCTAGGTCCTGAATTAAAAAATGTTTAAAATTCTAACCTGCTGTATTTGAGAGAGATATAACTCTAAATGTGCCCCAGGTATGGTTTCGCTCATTAGATAAAACCTGTGAAATGGACTATACTCTATATCTATATTTGACGCCTTGGAAAGCGTATATGCTTATAGCTGCCACGGAAAACCACGATCAAATAAAGAAAGCAAGTACATGGAGTATATATGACGTTTTTAAAGTCATAGAAATGTAAAAAATGACGGATCCTTAAAATATCTTTTGGTTAGATCACTAGAGATGTGCTAGTAGATTAAAAAAAGAAAAAATAATCAGTAAGAACAAAAACACCAAACAAAAAATATCTCAATTCTGATTCAATTAATATTACGGAAAGACAGATGGTACACGAGTCTACAAGACTTACAATTATGGCTTAAAAATTCGCCAGAATGTTTTTAACATGTTCGCGGTAGGTTTATTTGATACAACCGACAACAAGATACAAATTACCATGATTGTCGTCAACATTCGCAACGAATAGGTGCTATGAGAAAAACAAGAATACCTTAAAACGAAGTTCAAAACTAAATATTGCGTCCTTTTATCTCCTTCAGATCGGGTATTGTTATATATATTATTCAAGATATACATAAATTTAAACAAAATTACATAAAACTTTTGTAATTGATTATGTCACACTTCCTCAGTTTACGATTAAACCATTTCTGCTAGGTAGAACCATTAAACGTTTTATTACGACTACTAACTCTTTTACTGCTGCGTGGTTATTGGTTAGAGGCTCTTAAATTCGAATATTCCATCTGGTTATTACTTATATAATCGTAAAAATGTTTAAGTAATACGATTAAGAAGCCGAATTGTTTACTAAGTGTGGTATAAACGAAGATCATGATTATTTTTGTGGATATAACGATAAGCTAGAATTGCAGCGTTGAGTATGTACGAAATGCTAGATCTTAACGATTAATCATATAACAGAAGTTGCAGATGAGTCTGAACTATTTAAACTACAGAGGTAATAATAATTTTAATGTCAATTTCAAATATTTTGTGAGTATTATACAATGATAAAAGAAATAATACAAATACCCTTGGATGATTTAACAGCTGTAATGAAAAGGACTGATCGGCAGTATGAAAAACACACAGGTAATGCAGTTCTTTTAATTAGTTTCTTTTATTTCTTGTTATATAAATTATACATATTTAAGTTTCCTAAAAATCTCCTATTTAGTATGCTCACCAAGGTTTATACATAGCAAATATCTTCCTTTCTACTTTTCGCTCTGGGAACACTGAAGATCGACTGATGTTGTATCCCGAACCGGAGCTATGTGCGGATTTAGGTTTTCATGAGTTTTTGATAGGTTTCTGAATATAAGTACCTAATTCCCAAATCTGTTAGGAGAGGTTACATTTTTTTTAAGAATCTAGGCTTTACAATGTAGGGGGCCCTATTTATATTGTTTTATAAGGAATAAATTGATGCCATGACATCTGCGGTTACCTCCGTAAAAGTGTTGTTAAAATGTGTTTCATTTTCGCTTGGATTCAGGTATTCAGGTATATATTTCTTTTCAATTTTGTTTCTGTGTTTATTCCACTTAGCTCTCTTCTTATATAATTATTTATTCTTGTTATGTAGGTAATTTATATTTGTTAACAACGTCAAACCCGTTCAGAAAACTTTGTTATATTCATCCTTACCATTATGCTATGTAAAAACTTTTATTTATGAATGCTTTATGCTATGTAACTTTATTTTAGCTGAAATATCATTGACTCATATATTTTGTGATTCTAGCATTACATTGGCCACTACATTAAGATATTTTCTGAAAGCATTTTTATTTTTAGAGTCCTCCGTTTTTCATTGCTCTTTTGGTTTATCTGTTTTTACTTTTATCTTCTTGTCTCACGAGATAGAGTACCGCTTAAGTGTTACTTTATCCTTTATACTATCCTGAGCATGACGGTGTTACACTTCGGGATTTAAAGTACACACGGATCCCACCGTATGATGAATCAGTAGTGGTAAGTCCGTCTAGTGAATTTCCAGTTGAGTACGGTGTACTTGTTTATTTCAGTATACATATATTATCCATTTATCCAACGACCGTTTCACATTAGCCATTGGGATGCTGCTTAATTGGGATACGTACTTGATAATTTAAACAAACATGGTTCCACATTTGAACGCTACATCAAAGGATATAGAGGATATGTCTTTAAAGTGTGGACAGTGATGAACGGAAGAAATGTTTTGCCAATTAGTTTTTTCTTTCAATTTGTTGTATTTTATTGTACAGATTACAAATAAATTGAGAATTTCAAAAAAAGTTTCATTCTGCTAGAGCAATGGATATTTGCTTAATGATAATAGTGATTTTTTTTACACCTTCATATTGTGTCGAGATATTGTCGAATGAAAAATAGTGTCAAATTTCTATTTAAATTGATTATGACTGTATACTTATATATAGAACAAATATTATTATTCTCTTATATTTTACAACCTCTATTAGCCATTACCGTAGTAAATAACATTCTAATAGCGATTAATATTTTCTTAATGAATCCTGGTCTCTATTTAATTACAATTACTATTCACACAACACTCTTTTTTATTATCAAGGAGGTCTTAAAATTCAACATATTCGTAAAGAAATTCATCATCAGACTCTCTAAAAGAACATGGTTTATTGCATTTCCACCGGATGAATTCAAATGTTGTCGTTATTTACAACATTTCTCTGAAGTCCGTAGTAAGTATGCATATTATTATTAATCATGCATTCAGCCGCATTTAACAATGAAAATAAATAAAAGCCGCATATGCGTTAGCAGCAATAAAAAATACGTGGGTATATTACCAATTAGACGTAACGTGGGTTACGATAATTCAACTTTTATGTGTCAGGATGCGTGCGAAAATATTCGCGAAAATGTTAACGGAATAATAAGAATGAAAGTTCGTTCAAAGAAAGATTTTATGGCTGGATCAGGATATAGTAACTAAGTAAGTCTTTCATAAACATTAACATATGTACACCTACAAAATATCAGAGCTTTAATGCACTTCAGTCTGTTGCTTTATCCAAATAAAAACTTTTAGAAAAGTGAATGAAAACGGACGCATTCGAACTCATCACTTTATAGCCCCCCGTAAAATTATTATACAATCTCTCCGAGATATAATAAACTGGTAATCACCGGTATCGTTTGGAGATCAGTAAACTCATCACCGCAGATATGTTAACTCATCACCAGCATTTTGCCCCAAGGCTCTGGTTTATAATGCAGAAAATTGCCTGTTACCTGTTAGAATTTTTTATTTACTTGATAATCTATTACATTCCGAAATTATTTTAAGCGAATTGCTTTAAAATTTATTGTTTCTGGCATAAATAGACGTATCTGTCAATCTAAACGGATTTGAAATCTAAAAATTCAGCTGCATAGATTTTTAATACAGAACGTTTTAATAAAAAATATTTGTATGTGCTATTTCCGCTTGTATCTGAAATAGTCCACAACTTCGTTATTTGATTCGCATTCAGACTTCGATTATTCTTTCAAACTATCAAACCTTAGTGGTTTGCAACTATCTACGAGGGCATTTATGCTAATCGGTGATGAGTTTAGTGTACCTATGAAAACATTTGCTTTAAAAGAGTACCGGTTTAACAGAACTTGGCACCATCT